CGATTGTGGATGGTCTAAAGAAACGGCTGGGAGAAGCAGGAAGCAAGTGGCTGGAAGAGCTCCCACACATCGTATGGGCATTCCGAGTAACACCCAGGAGGGCTCACGGGGAAACTCCATTCTCCCTAACCTATGGATGTGAAGCAAGGCTGCCCATCGAAGCTGAATTCCCAACGTTCCGGGAATCAAACTATCAACCCCAGCAGAATGAGGAAGACCACTTGGCCGAACTCAACTTGGTCGAAGAGCGGAGAATGGCCGCGGAAGTCAAAATGAGCACATACCAACAAGTTGTGAAGAAGTACCATGATAACAAGGTCGGGCCGCGGTACTTCCAAGTTGGGGATGAAGTCCTACGAAGAAGAGAAGCAAGTAGACCCGGCGACGGGGGAAAGCTAGCAAAAAACTGGGAAGGCCCATATAGGGTTAGAGCCATCATTCGCCCGGGGACATACCGGTTAGAAACTCTTGAAGGGGTACCGGTAGAAAGAACCTGGAATTCCCATCATCTTCGCAAGTTCTACAAATGATTGTAATACTAGGCAAGGCCTACCTTATTATCAATCAAATCAATGATGTTCAATACTCTATTTGGTAGCGGCAGGATTGATAGGTCGAACCTATCCTAGGAGGGCTTCCTAAGTGGATCGAATCCACTTGGCTAAGCCAACTGAGACACAGGCCCGGACCTGGCACGCTGGTTACTACACCGGTCTTGCTTAGTATAATAGAAAAAATATCAAAACCCGGAAGAGGGCCCGGAAGAGGGTATGCCTGCAAGAGGGCTGGACCTGGAAGAGGGTTCGAACCGTACTTACACGGGCCCATGAGGTTTGACTGGTGTCGGGGAATCAGCCGACGCCGTCAGATTGATTGGGGACTAAAAAGATGCCCATTAAAAGAAATAGAAGGGGATCGTCCACCGTGGCGCATCCTATATCCCCCTTCTCAGGGAAGACTTGAACGGGGGGGTGAGCTAAGGCCTTCCCGGGACGGTAGAAATCAAAGGGCCATTAAAAGACTTAATCACCCGGAAGAGGGGGCCCTGGAAGAAGGGTGCATTTGAACCTTGGAGAGGGTTCGAAACCATTCGACATGGTTAAATCTCCAGTATTCTTACCGGTTAAGAATACTTCAAGAATTTCTAGGTTACAGGTGTTTCCATCTACAACCTACCGATAAAAAAAAAAATACCCCGGTCGGGTATGGGCACAACAGAACTTCGAAAGTTCTACATCCATCGAAAGGCAAGGCATTTGACCGGTCAAACCATGGAGTAGGAATTCACCGGTCAAATGATGAAGATGTTCGAAAAGCAAAAAATGAAGTTTAACCGGTCAAAGTTTCTCGGACTGATCCTTGAAATGAAATGACCAGAGAAAACTTTGAAGTTATACCGGTCAAAGTTACTTGAGCTAATCCTTCAGATGAAATAATCAAAGAGAACTTTGAAGTTCCACCGGTCGAAAACAATTGAGAAGTGGCCTAACCTATGTACCGGTCGAAGTTACTCGGGCTAGTCCTTCAGATGAAGTGATCAAAGAGAACTTTGAAGTTCCACCGGTCGAAAACAATTGAGAGGTGGCCTGATTTATGCACCGGTTAGAATTTCTATGACGGAACTCTAAGAAGCAAGAGCAAAGTATAGGTCAACAAGCAAGCAGATATGGAAGATTAACCGGTATGAAAATTAAACATGGCATTCAAGTGAAATAAAATTGTTAAGTGTTTACAGCTACACCAGGCATCCCCGGGGAAATTTCAAGTTGAGAAGTTTTATAAAGAACAACCGGTCTAGGACGGGGAGATCCTAATCTAAGGGGAAAGGGGGAGTAGGCTCTTCCTCTGGGATGGGAGCCAGGCCGTAGGAAGCCGCAGTGAAGGCCGGGTCTCTCTTCAGGAGGATCCGGTGGGAAGCTGCCCGGTCTTTTTTTTGACCGCACTTGAATCCGAAAGATCCGACGGCGGTAATCATCTTCCTTCCTTCAGGCTCCCGGTATAGAAGCCTGAAGGATTCCATGGTAGCTTCTGGACTCGCCGTCAGAACCCGGGCAGCTTCAGCCTTGTTTTCTTCAACCCAGGCGGCTGCGCGCCCGGGGAAGTTTTCTTCCTTCTCCGCCATCTCTCTTTTTGCTTCAGAGACCTCGTCCAGCAACCGGCCATTCTCCTCCTTCAGTTGGGAGATCTCAGTCTTCATTGCCCCGGCCAGCCCAGACAGCCAGATCAGCTCATCAGCCTGGCTCCTCAGAATGAGTGCCATTTCTTCCTTCTCCTTCTTCAGCCGGTTGACTTCAGAAGAGGAACTCATTCCCAGCCGGTCCACTGTCTGCGGCCCGATCTCCCCCGCCTGCACAAAAACGGAATAGACCGGTAAGTCTCTCGATAAAAAAAAACAAACAAAGACCGGGATGGCGTTAAGACTTACCTCCTTCAGCCTCAACCCCAGATTGATGAAGGCTTCTTCGATGGTCTGGCCGGCCGGCTCAGAATCCTGCCTAGCCCTCTTCTTGGCGTAAGAAGGGTGCGTGGTGGCCACCTTCTTAACCCGGTGACCGGCCTTCTCCTTCTTCTTCCCCTTAGACCGGTTGTCTTGGGGCTCATCTTAATCCAGGATTTCCACGGTCTCTGGATTGACCGGGAAAGTCCTGGCAGGATTGGCTTCGGAGCCCCCGGCCTCCCCGGCTGGTTGGTCGTCAGGGATGGCGAACTCTTCAAACTCCATATCTGCAAAACAAACTAAAACCATTAAGTACAAATACTTTGGCCGGTCAACTACGAATCACGATAAAATTGAAAGGTACCTGGGTGGGAGTTGCCCTCAGCCTCCGCAGTGTTGCCCGGGGAGGATACCCCGCGCCCCGCTGCGTCATGGGCCGGGGAGGTACCCTCGCCACCCGATTCGACCCTCCAAACCCAGCTGCCATAATGAAACGTCCTCCCGGTGAAAGGATCCCCACGCATGAGGACCTCAAGATTCGCTTCCAAGTCTGGGAGGAAGCCGGTGCAGTGTACTCTTGGTCGAGCAGATGGTCATTCCATTTCAGACCGGCCAGAGGAGTGAAGAAGGGGGGAAACTCGATGAAAACAAACTTTTCCTTCCATCCCCGGTTACTCTGGGGGACTTCGGAAATGAACTTCCTACCGGTGCGGGCTTTGAAGAATACAAAACCTTCGCAGCCAGCCCCGCCCGGTAGAACTTCGAAGCAAAAAAGGAAAAGACGCAAAGAAGGGAAGATTTTGAGATGGGTACATATATTTACGAAGGAGTGGAGGTACCGGTGGGCGTTAGGAGTTATTTGGCCGGGCAAAATCCTAAACGCATGGCAAACCTCAGTAAGGAGGGGACGAAAGGGAAAAACTATGCCCGCGTCCAGGGAAATGGTATGAAACCCTATCCTATCTTCCCGGTGGGGTTCAACGATGTTGGGCCAGTTGGGTTCGTAGAGGAGGGTATACCCATCCGGGAGCCTCCTACGGATTTTATTTAAAGCAATTTTGGACACACGGGAAGGTATGTCAAGGACATAGAAAGTGGGAAGCGGAAAGTAACCGGCAGCGTGAAGCCGCGCTTCCCACGCATCCCGGGTTTCGTGTTCGGGATCATAGGGACCTGGTTCGTCATCGACCGGGTCATCCCTCCCCACGAAGGTTTCACCGGGCATCTGATTAACGGGATGCGGGTCAGGAATAGAGGACTGGGGAACCTGACCGGGCGAGGAGTCGAGAGAAGAAGACCTGGTTGAGGAAGAGGAGTTGGAATTCCCAGAGGAGCAGTCCTCTGAGGAAGAGACCCTATCGCTAAGAGGGGACATGACCGGGAAAAGTATAGAAGGAAAGGGGAACTTACTTGACTCGGAGGGCTGGATAGCGAAGAGAAAGAACTTGACCGGTGAAGGCTCTAAGACTTGATCGCGGAAAGTGAGCAAAGAAGAGGGGTGGAGGCCTTTATATAGGAGGAGAGGAGGCCAAAGGGAGCGACGTGGCCACGCAAGAACGTGCCACGTCAGGCGGCGCAATGATGGCGCATGGGGAAGGCGATGGGACGCGACTGCAGCGATGGCCAGCGTCAGACACGTGTCAAAACCGACAGTTGGAGTTTTGAATTTGAAATATTTGAGCAGGAAAAATTAGGAATTTGAATTTAAGAGCCCTGTTTCAGACTTTTTACTTCCCGCTCATGACAAATTGCATGAACGAGAAGTGGAGGGCTTATTGATGGGTGTATTTCACCCAAGACCGGTCAAAGGAGGAGGTCAAATCTTTGACCGGTCAACCTCGAAAGTTTTCGAAGGGAGACTTAAATCGTCAGCAAAACGATATATCATCGGCCAAAATATGACCGGTACACTTCACAAAAAAGTCTACCGATCAAACTACGCTATCATCCTATTTATTCCAGACTTCGATGAAATCACCTCTCGGAGATTACCCGGTGTAGTTTCTGAGGTTGGAAAGTGTCGGCATAGGAGAATCTACGAGGGCTTGGCGTGTAGCGACCCGTGTCAGTAGAGGACGACTGGAGATTCTGAAGAATCCATCCAAGGCACTACCTGACAAAGGGAATAATCCCCCTCACAAGGCGACAAGGTAGCTAAGAGACGAGGCCCATCACCTCTCAACATCCGAGACACGTGCCTCCACGTGGGCGCACGTGGTCCTGTCCCCTTAGCCTAGTATAAATACTCATGTAAACCTCAGAAAGAGGGATCCGAATTGACTCTCTCTAAACTCCCTTGTAAAAGCACCCGTGCATTCTCCGTTATAGTATAAATCGGGCTACAGGTGTTCCACCTAAAGTCCTACCGGTCAATTTGCGTGTTTTTACCTTTCTTACTTTGCCAAATCAAGCGAATTATTCTAGACCCGGTCTAGTATAGTTTGACCGGTCAAGTAATTTACACCATCAATGCCGGACCCGAACACAACTCCGATTCTACCCCTCAATTGCACCTGCGAAGTTAGAAAAATGAGTTGTAGAGAAGAAGAAGATGAATCATAGTAGGATGCATTTAATGCAGTTCCCACACGCCGCATACCGATTAGTGTATTTATTTTGTGGTTGGAATGTGCCACAACTCACACACACACACACTACTCTTAAGTTGCCTTGTTTTGCTGCGGTCTTGCTGATTTGCATTAATTAGGTAAGAACAAAAGTGATAGCACCGGAAAGGGTAGGTTAAATTAAAATCACTTCCAAAGATTGTGATCCTAATGGATTCTTCTAATTAAACACTAGATGATGGAGATCAGATTAGGATTAGTGTTGTAAGAGTATGGCCAATGTTAAATCAACTATAAAAGTCATTCTATGACGTGAAATATTTTTACCACACAAAATTAGTACAGTCAATGTATGTGTGTCACTTTAGTAGAGTGACATACCTTATAATAAATTATTGATAAACTGCTTGTGACATTTTTTAAAGTAGTTTAATCATTGAAAATGATTTTACTTGTCTTTTTCTAATAAAATAAAAGTATTCCTTTTAAAAAATCTCATTCTTTCTTTTACAAATACAGAATAAGTACCTTCCAAGTGTAATTTTTATTAAAATAAAAAAAATAAAATCTACATATTTAAAAACTACGTATATGATTTTTTTTTCAAAATAAGAAGTATTAAGAATATTTCATTTTGTAAAATAATCAATGAAAACGTACAAACAAACAAAATGTTATCGTGAATGTTGAAAAAAAAATGTGGCAAACATTTTGGTACAAATGGATTTCATTTTAAAATATACTGAGTACTCCTTTTGTAATGCTCCATAGGTGGGGTGCCGGGCATGGCAATGATGGCATTGCCACCTCAGCCATGGGCACGGATGAACACCCCCTCGTGAGCTCACTACGTGAAGTTGGGCGTGGCCACAGCCACGGTGAATTGCTTCTCTTTCTTTTTTTTTAATTTAAGTTTTTTTTTTGTTTAGTTGATTTCTCATTTTTTTTGTTTAGTTTTTTCCCTGGGTTGCTTTCTTCTACGTGAATTTTCTTTTATTATATTTTTTTTGGTTTTTATTGTTTGTATTTAGTTTTATTTATTTTTTAGCAAATTTCTGAAATATATTTTTTAGCTACAATTTTTTTCAGTTTTTTAGTAGTATTCTATTTAAGAGATTTTTTAAAAAATACTACCTCCGTCCCAAAAAATTTACACGTTTTGACTAAAGTTGAAATTAAGGGAGAGATAATTTTGTGTTAACTTTCCAAAAATACCCTTGATGTGATGGGTAAATGTAGGATGTGATGTGTAGATTATTAGGAAAAATGTATGATGTGATAGGTAGGATTTGAAAAAGTAAGGGGTAAAAGTGATTTTTTAATAGAAATGGGTAGGAGATTGTGGGACTCAATTTTTTTGAAAGGTGTAAATCTTTTTGGGATGGAGGGAGTATATAATTTCTTTAGATCAAAATAGATAGAATTTAATTTGAATGAAAATATGTAAATATTAAATAAAAATAAGTATGTATTCATCATTGCAGGGGAAGTGATGCACTACGAGCCGACCGATGCCAACGTTGAAGAGGTCACCGAAGATGAATGAATTGCAAGACGCGCCCACATTATTATTTTCTATTATTATTATTTTATGAATGATAGAATTTAATTTGAATAGAAATATATAATTAGTTATAAAAATAAAAATTGCAGGTAAGAAGTAAGTAAGATGGTGATTTGGAGTGAGCAATAATGATGAGGTACTACAGATAGGCCAAGGGTAGTAACTTTTAACACTTTTTTTTGCACAAAAGCACATCTTCATAATGTACCACTTCAAATAAGAATACATAAGGTTTTAGTTACCCAACAATGAACTCGACCTCTTATAATAATAATTAAGGAAACTAGGAATGAATCCGTCGCGAACTCTAGCTATGGATTCTTCTACTGTGCATCGCATCTCTTCTGGTGACGTGTCTTGTTCCTCATCCTCCAGATACTCCAAACACTCCATGCGCTCTCATTTGTTTCCTTCTCCGATCCTCTTCAATCCTGTCTGCATGCCGAATGAATGCTGTCCTCCAGTGCTTGGTATGTATGTAGCTGTAAATTGAACTTATTAGAGAAAACATGAACAAAGCATTTCTTGGGCCACATTGCATTCCCAAAACAGATGTCTCTCTGTTTCCCTTGATTGTCTGCTTAAGACACATTTTGTTCAATATCTAATTATTATCTGCCTACTCTCTCTTTTGTTTGCATCCTTCCCTTCATAAGCAACCAGCTGGTCACTATGCCCAGTAATCCAAAAAATATATTATTAATATATATGGAGTAATTAACTATGTATTAAAAAGATGTCCCACATTATTCTGTTGGTCCCCACATTTTGAAAAAGATAAAAACTTTTTTAGACAAAAAAACAAAAACATTGAATTTGACCAAACAAGTTTATGCTAAATTTTTATTACAAACACATTTTTTAATTTTTTTTTTTTTAGAAATGTAGATTTGACAAAACAATCCTTCATTATTTCACACACAAACATTTTTCTTCTCTTTATGAAAAAAGAAAAGAAAAAGGAGAGGGGGCATTGGCGCCCATTTCCAAAAACATAGGGACAACGAAGTCATTCACCTAATATTTTAAGGATATTTTTGTTTAGAGGGACGCCGGTGTAACAATATCAAAACCATGAGAGACAACGATATAAGTTTTAAAACCATGGAGGGTAACGCTGCATATTTACCAAATTACGGGAAGTGTTGGTGCAATAAACTCGATCGGGATATGGATATGTCAATAGTTACTAGAGCCCATTACGTACGGAATATATTTGTTTTTAGGCTAAAATCCACCATTGGTCCTTCAACTTTATTAGTTGTGCACGATTGGTCCTTCAAGTTTCAAAAGTCCATAAATAGTCCTTCAGCTTTATGAGTTCTGCACCATTGGTTCTTCAAGTTTCAAAAGCCCATAAGTAGTCCTTCAGGTACACGTCAGCCCTTCAAATAAAGTCCTTTTGACAGTAAATATTAAAAGTTAAAAGAAATATTAATTTCATATAATATGAGTAAATTCTACTAGGTACGACTACTCCGTATTATATGGAGCTAGTATTCCATTTAGCTTTTAACATTTACTGTTAAAAGGATCTCATCTGGAAGACTGACGTGTACTTGAAGAACTACTTATGCACTTTTAAAATTTGAAGGACCAATCGTGCATAACTCAGAAAGTTGAAGGACTATTTATAAACTTTTAAAACTTGAAGGACCAATCGTGCACAATTGATAAAGTTGAAGGATTAATGGTGGAGTTTAGCCTTGTTTTTATTTTTAAAGTAATTCTATTCTTAATTGATTCCACAATGGTTGTTTTTTAGGGGCAGAGATCTGTAATCAACTTGGAGTACTACAAGTTGAATTGGTTTTTGCCAAAGTAAGTTTAATTTTCAGAAAGACTATTGCATCCGATCCCATCCTTTTCAGAAATAATTGAGCTAAGAATATTCTTTTGGTCGTGATTTACAAAAACCAAAACCTAATTAGAGCATTTGTTTAAATACTGTACTCCATATTTGACTAAGATTTATCCATACTACAAAATTAAATTGAATTTTTCTTAAATTTATTAGAATATTAGATAATAAGAAAGAAATATTATATTTAATTATTTTTCTTATCATATTGTGTTCCTAAATGTATTATTATCATAGTTGTTATCCTACTATCTATGATTAGAACGAACTCTTTCATGTACTCTCTTTTAATAAGGTCATATTCTTTATTATTCAATAAGATTAATTATTATCAAATTATATTAAAATTTATAAATCTTCTTACTAGACAAATTCATGCAAAACATCGCGGGTTAGTTAAATTTGTCCAAAGTCCAACTCATTTATCATTATTTTTTTGTTCGGAGTCCAACTTTAGGCACACACTAAAAATAAAAGCACAATCTTTCATTTTTAATTTGTTGCCCGAATGGATTTCCGGGCCCGTGGCATTAGTTTAATTTTAGGGTCCTTTTGGAAACTAGTAAAATAAATTTAAGAAAAACGAATTCTGGATTATGACTCATTTTCCTGAAGTCATTTTCCTTTTCTGGTGTTTGACTGAAACTATGAAAGCTATCTATTTCTGTTTGGTCCATTATCCAGAAAATGAATATTCAAAATAAGAGTTAGAAACATTACGTTAAAAAAACCATTGCAGCAAAAAAGAGACATTTATTAATTAATGAATTAACAAATACATTGATTAACATCCACTACAGCAAAAAAAAATTATAGGTCAAAATATCAATTAAAAATGGAACATTCGTCTTTATACAAGTACGTTCACAAAAACATCCATTGCAGCAAATTTAAAAGCAATGAGGGTTGGAGTGAAGGGGGCGGAGAAATCAATTGGAAAAAAGTGAGAAACCAAAATTTAGTACGTCCTATTCCCTACACATGTATGCACTATCTAATACCCGCACGGATAGCCCAAGTGGTAAACACTTGGTGAAGTTTGGAGAATGACCAAGGATCAAAATCTGGCAGCGACCGTTGTGGAGGCGACCACCTCTGAAAAATGGGGGGAGTCTCTGGTGCGCACTAGGATATGGTCTAACTAAGTGTTGTGCTTGGGTCACCGTGATTTACCTCCTCTCACATTCCCGTCGGGTCGGGGGTGAGGGGCGCCCGGGGTGAGCGATTTCACCTTTTTGGAGAATGTATGCACTGTCTAATATTTACTTGAATAATGACTAATAAATAATAACTAAAAATAATACATTAAAAAAACACATATAACAATATTTAGAGAAACTCATTATGTTTTAGTACTATTTAAGTAAATTCTCATGCAAAAGTGTTAGAATATAAATAACTGTTTTTAGGCTACAACCACAGCTTGAGCTTTTGGTTGAGTTGGTTCTTTGACAAAAAGTAAAACTATATCCCTTATTAATTAGACGAGGGAGTATAAAGCATCCAATATTCCAATTTACATATGTGTTGGCAGATGCCATATATATGCTAATTATATTCAATAAGTAGATACGTACGTAAAATTTGATGGATTTGCATGTTAATTATATGGGGCCGGGAGTGTGTGTGTGTGTATATATATATATATATATATATGAGTAGAAAAAAGGATTAATTATTCATTTCTATCTCAAAGCATATGTGTGTGTGTGTGTGATGGTCTATCAACCCACGTAGTCCATATATATGCATGCTCCTTCCCTGGCCGGCCTATAAAATGCTAACTCCCTTCTAAGCTGTCAAAACAACAATATAATTAAGCTAATAAGATTATTATTTTTGCCTTTGCTATATACATTTATAACAAAGTAAATTAATTATATTGATAATTAATGGATGCATACGTTGCAAGTTTTGTTGCCCCCCCGGTTTCAAGACACGCGACGGCGGCGGCGGCTCCAGCACGTCGTCCAGTCGTGGACAGAAATGGTGTCAAACCAGTGGTAGACAGGAGCGCTGCCGCAGCTACAGAGTCGCCGCCGCCGCAACCATATTATTCTTCGTCCGGAAGGAATAATAAGAATGCAGCCTCAAAGTCGCCGCCGCCGCCGGGCAAGGGCAATAATAATGGTCGTTGTGAAGGCGGTGGCGACAAGAACATCGATGTGAAGGCAACCAGCTACATTTTGAAGGTCAAAGAACGTCTGAGGAGGGAAGAAATGAAAATTATGAATGAAAAGAAATGACTTATTACAAATTTTTATCTGCTCGTGTCTCAAATAAAGTATTGATGCATGCTCGTGTGATGAGTTGATGATAAGTGTAAATTAAAAATATTGATGGGTGGACATAAATACCCCTTGTCTGGTCAAATGTATTCGTTATGTTTGACTTCAATTCCTTGAGTCAAACTATTTAATCTTTAATTACATATAGTATCAATGATAACAAAGTATTCTCTCTGTCCACCATAGATCTTCTCATTATCCCTTTTTATTTGTCAACCATAGATTTCTTATTACTTTTTTTAACAATTAAAAAACTACAACTACTCTCACTTACTTTATTTATTACACCCCACCTAACTCATTTAACACACTCCACCCATTTTCATTAAGGGTGTTATACTAAATTTTTACCTTTTTTCCATTCTTCTTAAAAAACATAAAAAATCAAAACGAGAAAATCTTAGTGGGACGGAAGAAGTATATAAAATAAATTTGCAAATCAAAAAAGCATTTTTATTATAAGATAAATCTAATGAAACAAATATTGTATTAATATGCAACATTAGGAGTAATGTTTATATATGAATGATAATCAAAATTCATTAACTCCTAAAAAACAAACTAGACAAATACTTTATACTCCATATCTCTTTGACTTTTTAACTTCTTATTTGATGGTTCACCATCTTAATTGTACTATTTTGATCATAAGTATTTACTCCGTACCGATACCAAACATTTTAAATAAGAACATCATAATTGTACTATTTTAATCATAAGTATTTACTCCGGAGTATTTTTTTTGAGAACATCATAAGTATTGATATGTGTGTATATATTACCAAAGTTGTGTTCTGATCTTTTAATACAAACTTATGTTTTGGTTTTAATATTCTCGGAGTAACAAATGTTTAACTTTTTGGCACAGTTTGAGCATGAGTGTGGTTTGATACTGTTTTGGTTGAATGATGCTAAATAATTTTGGAGTTCATTCCGTACCGATACCAAACATTTTAAATAAGAACGGTTCGTGATAGGTTCCAATAATATATCACGAATCATTACGGACCGCGCCCACCGCTAACACCAACATTTTTATACCAATTGTACATAGTGTTTTTCATAGGCACATTATCTGTGACCCATAGACAACTGATGTTTGTGCATATTTGTGACAACGTGATAGGTAAATGAAATTAGTTACTCCCTCCGTCCTTGAGCATTCGTCCTGTTTTGACTTTTTGGTCAAAATTGATAAAATTTAACTTCAAATTAAATAAAAATAATACTACCTCCGTTCCTCTAAGATCTTTTCATTTTGACTTAATGTGGTTTTTAAAGAGAGTTGAAAAAAGGTGAAAGTTTACCATAATAGCCTTAATGAAAATGAGTGGAGTGTATTAAATAAGGTGGGTGAGGTGTAATAAATAAAGTAAGTGGGGTAGTTGTGGTATTTTGATTGTTAAAAGATGAAATAGGAAGATCTATTGTGGACAAAGAAAAAAGGCTATTGGGAAGATCTATGGGGGACGGAGAGAGTATTAGATACTGATACAAAATTAGTTTTATTTGATTTATTATATCAAATATTTTCAAAATATTATTTTATCTAATTAATAAAAAAATATATATTTTATTTAATTATAGTTCAAATATTAAAAAGATTTACCAAAAAAAGTCAAAACTGGACAAATACTCGTGCTGAGAAGTAGTAGGAGATAGGGAGTAAGAAATATATCGGGCCATTGGGCGATTGAGGCCATTCTCGTATTGCTGGGCTGGTTTTGCTTGGATAGGAATAAGATTGGGCCAGTTTGATTTGATTCCACTTCTCGCTTCCTGCGCGCGCACACTGTCGAAGACGAAGAACTCGCCAGTCCCTTCCTGTGGTTTCTCTAGGGATTTCTGGGAAGGTGTTCTAGGCCGAATATTTACTCAATCAGGTATTTTCACACGCTAATTTCGCTAAACTTGTTTTTCTTTCTAAATTTTGATGTACTCCGTTCAATTTACGTTTTAAAATACCCCAGTAAATTATTTCGATTTTCATGGGGAAGTGAAAATAGCATTTGTTGGATTCTTGTGATTTGCTGCAGAAAATGTTTTATCTGTGACTTGGAAGCATAACTGAGAAGAGTAGTGCTCTGTTTAGGGAAATGATGCATTGTGCTTCGTTTTCAAGTTTGAGCTGTTCATTCACAATTGGGATTCAAAGAGCGGTTTGTGCAAAACAGGTCGTGGGATCTAACCTCAATTTGGCTCTGCATATGATCAGTAATAATACCGAGAGTTTCAGGTATTCAAGCTACCTTTGTAATGCCAGAGTTATGGCTGCTTCTGGATCTAAAGCTTCTTCGGCCGATTTCATGGTAGATAATAGCTTAATCTCAAGTCGTGGCACCGTTTCAAGATTTTCCAGGCCTAACTGTGTCCATTTTGGAGATAGAGGTAGTACGAATTGCGGGAAAACCAATATGAGTTTGCAGATGAGGGAAGTGAACACTTCCCCCACTGTTCGTGGGCATTTTATATTTGACATCTCACAGAGATCTTCCAAGTCCGGTCTAGCATTTAGGAAAGAGTTAAAAAGATACTGTACATCATCTTCCCCGCCTCATTCTGATGGATCATCTCCGGATGAGCACCTTGCAAGTCTTGCAGTTCCAATAGAACAGTATGTGCCCTTGTCTGTTTGCTGCTTTCTTTGTCTGTTGCAACCGTATTAGCCTGGAGATATACTGTCAATATTTGTGATCCATCTTTGCAATACTAATTTAGATCACGAGAATTGAGAAAGGTGTCTAGTGGACATTGTACATACAGTTTTTAAAGTGTACCGGAGTATTTTTTTGGCCGATTTTCTGCTTTTGATCATTGGACAAATCTTCTTTACAAATCATTTTCTTTACTGAAGAACAAAGCAAATAACTGTACATTAGTGAGGATTTGCAGCATTGGTCTATTATACTTAATGCTAGTGTAATTGATTTCTGTAAGTCCTCTATAGGTAGCTTCTATAACATTGTCAGCTGTCACTGTATCTCTATGCTAATTTTTGTTTTTACTAATTACTATATTGACAAGGGAAATGTAACATTAGTCTAGAATGCCACATCATGGATCAAGCTTAAAATTTGTTTGTTCTCTCTTATTACATTGCTTTGCTTGGCTGACCAGGAACATGAAGGCAGTAGGTCATGGATCACTCAAGCTAGTTTCTGGATCATGCTACCTTCCTCATCCTGATAAAGTAAAAACCGGTGGAGAGGATGCTCATTTCATTAGTGAAGATGAGATGGCAATTGGTGTAGCAGATGGAGTTGGTGGGTGGGCAGATGTTGGCATTAATGCAGGAGAATATGCACGAGAACTAATGTCCTATTCAGTGAAAGCTCTTCTGGACGAACCCAAGGGTTCCATTGATCCGGCTCGTGTATTGGAGAAAGCATATTCAAACACAAATGCGCAAGGCTCTTCTACAGCCTGTATCATAGCCCTGACAAGCGAGGTTTCATTTCCCAAAAAAAAGTTCTAGTACCTTGATATGTAGCTATACAATCATCTTATACTTTAGACACTTTGTATTGATGAAAATTTATTTATGTGTGTCTATATGCATTAATCATATGCATAAAAACTGAATAACTTTTTTTGGTAACTGGAAAGAAAAGAGGCTGTTTGAACTTTGAACTTGTATAGGCTTCCGAGACTAATCATCTTTTGGTGGTGCTCCTTAATACATCATAATAAGACTCTTTACTTTTAACATTAGGTTGAAATACTGCTAACCATTTCCATTACAATGCTAATATTTTTTTCCACGATTGGTTACTTAATTCTATTCTTCCTTCCAAATAGGGCCTTCATGCCATCAATCTTGGAGACAGTGGCTTTGTTGTTGTTAGGGGTGGACACACCATCTTTGAATCCCCAGTTCAGCAGCACGGTTTCAATTTTCCATATCAACTTCAAAGTGGCAGTGGTGCTGACCTTCCAAGTTCTGGTCAGGTTTGTTGCTTAATCCCCTATATGTTCATACCATACATCCCTCAATTCCACATCTTAATAAATAGATAAATAAAAAATTACTTCTTACATGTTGCAACTTGCAACAACCAGGGGCAGGTCTATTATGGAAGATTGAGTAAGGTGTGTTTGTGTGTGTGTGTGTGTGTGTTGTTCTGTAAACCTCGCAGTCAGTTTTTGTAAGGGTAAGGTCTGTGAACATTCAAACCCCACTTGTGGGGCTCCAGTGGGTGTTATTCGTGCATATTTTGGGTTGCATGACTTTGCATTCAGATATAAACTTAGGGCCCGTTTGGTGAGTTTTGGAGATATAATAAGATATGAGTTCTGAAATCTAGGAGATAAGATATGAGTTTTGAAATCTGAAAGGAAAGTGTTTGGGGAAAACAAAAATGAAATCAAATCCCAATCACAACTGTTTGGTGAGCAATTAAGAAATTAAATATGGAATATAAGTGTTGAATGATATTTTAATATATATATATATATATATATATATATATTGTATTGGTTAAAAATGAAGAATACGGTTTTATTTGTACATTTGTTAATAAAATTTTAATGTTTTCTTGATTCTGTATTGTTACTTTTTGTGAATATTTTTTATAAATTGCTACACATGTAAAAAAATCTTACATCACATGAAAAGTGAATGAATAAAATTTATTCAAGAGAGGAATATTTTAAATCAAATTATTTTCTAAAGAGAAAAAAAATAAATCAAAAAGATTAAAATTGCATCAAAATTCAAAACAGTAGAATGAGGCTAACTAACAAAATGGGAGATGTGTTTAAAAAAAACCAAAAAACAAAATGGGAGATGAGGTCGTGCAACGCCCAAAAGTTGTTACTCCGTAGCACATTTGAAATCGGCTTAAATTTGACAATATGAAGATGCGGCATTTTGCAGATATGGAGTATATCTGGAGATATCAATTGGATCCCTTTTTATCTTCACCAAACACTTTTTTTGGAGTTTGACATCTCAAATATCAAATTTTATCTGTTTTTGTCACCGAACAGGCCCTTAAGTGTTTATGTGCTTTGTTTTTAATATATATGTAGGTCCTCATATTCGAAATTCTTGATCCTCCATTAGCCCCATCCAGCTTATTATTGCTGCATCTTTCTATCTATAACTGATAAGAAACACAATTCATTATGTGCATGTGTGTGGGTGTGTGTATTCTTCAAGAAGCTGCTCAAATCTTCATAATTGGGCAATCTTTAGGTTTTCACAGTTGCTGTTAAAACTGGGGATGTAATCGTGGTGGGAACTGATGGATTGTTTGACAACCTGTACAAAGATGAAATTGCTTCTCTTGTTCGTGATGCAGTAAATGGTGGCTTCAAAGCAGAGGCCACTGCTAAGAAAATAGCAGATATAGCACGCCAAAGAGCTCTCGATAGCAAACGTCAAACCCCCTTTGCTGATGCGGCACAAGAAGTTGGGTTTCAATACTATGGTGGCAAACTGGATGATCTTACAGTTGTCGTTTCTTTTGTCACTGACTCAACTGCTGCATAAGCAGTAAGTTTCTACCTTCTTATAGCTTCTGGTTCTCTTTTACATTGGATTTTTATCTACCGGTGCTTTGTTATACCCCACATATCTAAAAATATTGACTCAATAAATATACATCTGCTGTCAATAGGATTATTGAGGTCCCTTTTGGTGAAATATTCTAATAGGAGATAATAAAATTACATACAAAAATTAATATGACATCATTATAAAACTTATTTAAAACAGTACGTCAACGTCTAAATAATTACAAACTTAGTACTTTCATTATAACTACGATTTATCAACGTCTTCGTTCGAAAATATACATTTGAATATGTGATGATATACTTGTACGGCACTGGGCTCCTTGTCTTGCCACTAGATTGGCCTTGGGGGCATGACTTTGGTAGCGGGCTTTGGTAGATTTAATCCTAGGATTGGGTGGCAGTGGCTATATGTGACGGCCTTGTCTATTAGGATTGGTTTTGGTTGGGTGTTTATAGCTTTTTGCACAATGAGTGTTCCGGATTTATGAATCTGTAATAGAATTGCCATGGGGGCTTGGCCCACAAGACCTTACTGTATTAGACCCATCTTCTCTGTTTCATCTATTGTGCCATTGACTTGATGCTTCTTTTGCAATCAGACCTCTTACTAGATTATGTACTTTTACTCACTAGTCATTACCATAATTTTTAGTACACATCCTTTGGTTTAAGAGTTAGGGTATATTCAATGAGATCCTCCCAAGAAAGCATAAATATAAAGATGACACACCGAGGAATAATAGGTTCCACGGCATTGCTTGAACCACATTGTTGTTGGGACGCGACACGTGGCTCAAAGAAATCATGAAGAGAGCATTGGTTTTGTGGACAAATTAACTAGAACGTGTCACAAATATCAAGGTCAAACACATTAATTGTGGAATGACATGCGTCTAATGGACTGAGTAGGCACAATTGACTTGTATTCTTTTTTCTTGATCCAGGTCTTTTCCACTAGATTTTTCTCAATATTTTAGTGAGATACATGGTGTTTTGTCGAGGCCAGGGCCATTAGAACAATGCATATTTCATATTTGTAGAACATTGAACTTGAAGTTTATCCCAGTGCCAGTGTCACTTGTTCCCTTTCGCCAAAAGTGGTATCGCCTCAAGAAGTGGAAGACTTATGATGGTATACATAGGCCCGGCCCCCTAGCAATGCCATAGATGACTCTCGTCCACAACCTCGGCACTCGGCTTTGGTGTATTCAGGCATCGGATTGTGTGGCTGCGTGTAAAAGCGATATGGTTGGGTTTGGTTTGTAGCCCAAGAAAAAATTTTATGCTCTAAAAGTCAAGATATGTTTTCTATGCTGTTATACAATTACACCCAGAATGACACCTTTTTTTAGCACCAGAAAAGTCTTTTCTTCTTCTTCATGCTCTACTATGTCTTCGCCCTCAACATATGTTTTCTAAAGTTGCTATGCAAAAGATATGTTTTCTTAAGTTTCTATCCAATTACAAGTCGTTTTTACTCAATGGACACTGATTTTTTTTATAGCACCAAATGAAAAAACAACAAAGCGCTTAGTTCAAATGGAGGGAGTACAAAATAAGTACCCGACTTCAAGCACAGAGAGTACCAATTATCAATGCATATGAAAATAAGTACAAGCCAAAACCTCAAACGGGATCAAAGTATTGTTTTTTGAACAAAATGCACAACTTTATTACCACCTCAAAGTACAAATACAACCAACAAACCAAAAGTCTATCTCAAAACAACATTTTTTAGACGATAATTAATAAAAGACTTCATTTGAAATTTTATCCATTCTATGCTTTCCTCAACAGATATCAATTTCTCCTGCTTAATCTTGAAATTACGAGCCTTCCACACGGCATAGCAAACAGCAGCAAAACCAGCAATCATTATATGTCTCTTCCTTCTTCCTTTAACAATCTCACTTGCTCTCTTCAAGTCCGCATCGTTCTTGGCCTTCCATTGGACTCCAATCCACTTCTCTATTTCTTCCTTGATACCCAGAGTATATGCATAGCCATAAAACAAGTGCTCCTTATCCTCCACTCCATTGCTACACAACACACAACCAGTGTCAATATTCAGGAATCTTTGTAATCTCACCTTGGTACCTTGGTGCTGATTCTATTCTTCCATCCAAGCCACATTAACACTTGGTGTTTGGGAATAGTTAACCTATTCCACACAATAAGAATTTAGGATATGCATTGGTCTCACCCATGAGCCATTTGTACCCCAACTGGGTTTCATACTCACCCTTCATGTCCATTTTTGCAAATAGCTTCCTATTATGTAGGAGCTTCCTCAAGTAATAGCACATACCAGATTTTGGTTGGATATCCCATATACTACTCCCCTTGAGATACTTGTTGTGAATCCATTTAACCCACAACACATCTTTTTGTTAGCAATGTCCCATAACAGGCTGTGATTACAAGCATAATTCCAAAGAACCAGGTTTTTAATACCCAGCCCCCCTTCCTTTTTTGGTCTGCAGACATCATCCCACCGCACAGCAGGCACCTTACTATACTCAGCCTTAGAGCCCCACAAGAAATTTCTACAAATACTTTGTATTTGGTGCATTACTTTCCCAGGAATAACGAAGAGTATTGTTTGTTCACATTGAAATTCTCCATTTCTTTTTGGTTTTTTTAGTTTGTTTTTGCTTTTTTTTTGTGGACGCTCAATAAGGAACTGGAAACTGTAATGCGAGACTACATGCAGATAAGAAGTACCTCACTCATTCAAACCAAAACACCACATAAGAGTCGAGAACAACAAAAGTTATTTCATTTTCACAAACTTAGCAAGGGTCTTAGTACAGGGTCGTCTGAGTAAGAACTAGTTCTGATCCATCTGCTTATTCAAAAGCAAACTATTCACATTACATATCCATCAAAGTTTGGAAACGGGGGAAATTTAAGGCAAGATCATGCCCCATTCATATCTTTCTTCTTCTTCTTCTTCTTGTTCAAGACTTTTCTTCCCCAGTCCATGTCCATGCCTGCTGGACCCTCCTCTCCCCACTCCCAGCCACCACCCTCGTGTCGCTCTTCTTCTTCTTCTTCTTCTTCTTCTTCTTCTTCTTTGTGCTGCTTAGCGGCCTCCTCTTCCTTCTTTTGTCTACTCTCCTCTTCTCTTCTTTCTTCTTCCTCTTTTCTAGCTGCCTCTTCTCTTCTTTCTTCTTCCTCTTTTCTAGCTGCCTCCTCTTCTTCTTCCTTTTTCCTTTGCTTTTCCTTTTCCTTTGCTTCTTCCTCTTTTTTCCTTGCTTCTTCTTCCTTTTGCCTCTGCTCTTCCCTTTTCTTTGCTTCTTCCTCTTTTTTCTTTGCTTCTTCTTCCCTTCTTGCAGCCTCCTCTTCCTCCCTTCGTTGCTCTTCTTCTTCTTTCTTCTTGGCCTCTTCCTCTTGTCTCTTTTTAGCTTCTTCCTCCTCCTCCTCCTCTCTTTCCTTCTCTTGTTTCTCTCTTCTCTTTTCTTCCTCTTCTTTTTTCTTCTTTTCTTCCTCTTCTTGTTTCTTCTTTTCTTCCTCTTCTTGTTTCTTCTTCTCTTCCTCTTCTTGTTTCTTCTTTTCTTCCTCTTCTTGTTTCTTCTTCTCTTCCTCTTCCTTTTTCTTCTTCTCTTCCTCTTCCTTTTTCTTCTTCTCTTCCTCTTTTTCTTTCTGAATTTCTTCTTTCATTACCTTGAATTCCTCCTCGGCGCACGATGTGCATTCAAGAATTATTGCCTGCTCTTGTTGGTTCAATATCTTATCCACGGTCGTGTTTTTGGCATCCAAAGAAACCGACAGAATGTCTCTGTCCAGAGTTCGTAACACGGATGCTTTGCCCGCCAGGTACTGAGGGTGGTTGTTCTTTGCCGCAGTACTGAATCCCATGAATACAAAGGAGTCGTTGTTGAATGCCACTTGAGCCATGGGATGGAACCTCGGCACGGCAAACACGTCACCTTCCTCAACGTGAAACCTCATGTTTTTGCAGCTTGTTCGGTTTCCGCTGCTGGGACAAACGACTGTAACCATTCCCTGCCCGTGCAAACAGATTCCAAACTCAGAAGCCCTTGGGTTCCAATGCGGTCCCATTATAGAGCCCTATCAATTGAAACAAGACATCATCAATTATCAATCATCTATCATAAATGTGCTAATCACTAATCTACAAATAAAGAACAATAATAAATGCTGTTTATCATATCGTTAAACTGCTGAAAACTAAGAAGATTTGGGCACAGACAGTTCAGGAAATGTTACCACCATACCATATTACAACAACGAACCCAACTTATTAAACTGAGGCAGGTGGAATTAATTCTGTTTTTCTCAGTAACTTTCTTTTTAGTAATACTGTTTACTACTCTATTAGGTATTCGAAACCAGGTAAGGTAATTTTGAAAGTACACTTACCTACAAAGAGTTAATTAATCAAAACCAGGTAAGGTTTTGAGTGATACATTCAATGCATGATCGACTTTCTTGTAAAGAAAAGATGAGTGTGTGTTTTATTATAGCAACTAACCTTGGTCAAGTTAACCATGAACACACTGATGTCAATGCCCTTCAAAGCAGACAACTGCTTCTTGGTTACCACTGTGCTCCACCCGTTGCAGTTCTTGAAATCGGGCTCATTTGAGAAAACATTGAACAATTTGTTCTTTTTGTTTTCGCCGGGGATAAAGACGACGTAACCATTGCCACCCAGAAGGGCTCTCATGAATGCAAACTCCCTATCTCTACGACTCTCCTCCTTCAACCCATGCACTATGCCTCCTGGATCTGCACCTCCCGTTATCTCTTCTATGGCTTCGGAAGGAACCTTAGAAGATAACAGAACTGTCACTTTAATTTCACCCACTTTTTGTTGTGTTATATTCTCTTCATTCGAATTTAGTTAATCCACTTTTTTTCCTTCTTGGGATGTCCAGGATCACTTATTTTCTCACCTTAATTAGATGGTAAGATAAACACATGATGGAGAATAGTTACCCAAAATATCCTAATAAAGAGCATGTTAAGCTTCTTTCCTAACAAGGATCTTGTTTGTTTGTTTGTAAATTTGCCCATTGATGTTACGTACGTTAAATTGTTCGTAGGGGGGGTGGGGAATGAACTTAGTTACCCCAAATGCTGCTTCTAGGACTGATTTATCAAAGCCAAGAATCAAATCGCGAATACTCGAGTACGGGCGGATTGCTGGTTCCTGAAATGTCACACAAAAAAGAAAGAAGACAACTTTGTTTTCCTGAATGATTTGCAAATTAAATGCAACAGTAAGTTTTCAGCCATGAGTGGTACGTGTGTGGGTACATACATGTAAGTCATTTTCTGCATTGGCAAAGAAGGCATAGATTCTAAGTTTCTCGCTATCTGATGATGGGCTGCTTTCTATGTAGAAAACAGTTCCGGGTTCGAGCCTATAGATATCTCCCTTTTCCACTTCAACCTGCTTTGTTTCACTCTCTTCTGTCCAACTGATATTCCCACTCCCTGCACACATCCCATCCCCACAAAAAGGAATGATGAACCATATATATATGTGTGTGTGTGTGACTGAAAATGAAATACTACAACTTTGTAAGAGTAACCTCTCTGTGTGTGTGTGTGTGTGTACAAGTCTTTGCATGTGGGAGGTAGGGACGGGGTTTTATTAGATAAAAAAGAGTTTAATTAAGATAGAAGGAACGAGCCTGTGTGAACATAGAAAACCATTTCAGATTGGAGAAGAACAGGGAGGAACAAGGCGTTGGGCTCCAAGGTGATGGACTCGATATGGAACCTCCCGTTGCCTATCCCGTCGCTGATTCTGACGGTGGAAACCTCCCCGTCCTCAGTCGACACCGTCGTTTCCCTTTCACCCTTCTTCACAAGGAATGGCCGCCGGCCGCCGCTGCCCTCCTCCACCTCGTGTTCCAGCGCCGCCGCCGCGGTAGGGACGGGCGGGTTCAGGGACAAGATCAACAAGAAGAGTAATAATGCCAGATTAGCAATTACGTGGCCGCTGGTTGCCGATGATGATGATACAGAGGTTCTACCTGTCGCCATGTTTGTTTATTTGGCTTTTGGTTCGTGAGATGTGCGTAATTAAGGCGTGAGGAGTGATGATTATATAAATGAAGAAGAGATTTATTTGTTGTAACGTAGGAGTGGGGTACGTGGCATTTGCATGGGGGCTGGCTGTGTCTGAGGATGCATGAGAGTGCCACGCGTCACTCGGTCTTTGTTTGTTTGCTTGCAATGCGATTCTATCATCTAATGCATTTACTCGTGCCATCTCTTTTATCCAATGCAGGCCTGAAATTAAAGAGGAAAAAAAAAGAACTGAAAATTTCACGTTTTTAGTACAACCCAAACGTATATCTGATCTCATCGTAGAAATTTCACATTTTTATTATGTACTGGCCTGGTTCAACTTTTTTTTAATAAAGATCTGGATTCTTTTCACAGGTTTTAACATGCACTCCGATCCCTAATTATATTAGAGAATGGAATATATATATATATATATATATATATATATATAACTTGATGCTTCTCATCGACTGCTTCCTGAATTTCCTGATGGACTATACGCATTATACAAAATAAAAAAAAACAACCTAGATATGAATTTGCTTAATAATGTCACTACTCATTTTATAATAATGATATAGTCAAGTCATTTTTTATTTTGTAGAATTTTTTAAGTAATTTTAAAATATAACAATTTTATTCATTTAAATTTTACACATACAATTAAATAAATTGAATTGAAAATAATATCGGTCAAACTTTTTAACATGTAATTTTTTGATTTTTTTACTAGCGCCCAAACTTTTGATTTTTTTGATTTTTGACACCCCATCCTAGAGGGTCCCTTAGCCCTGGACGAACGATTAGCTGAAATGAGATAAATTGAGTTATAATCTTAGTTAATTGACATAAGAGTAGAGTTTCGTGCCCGATATTTGCAACAAAAATAAATTATATTGTGGACTTACATATGAGTAAAATAAGTATTTTTGCTACTTAGATAAACACTTATTTTTTTAAAATAAAAAAGTAATATTTTTAATGTGAGAATATCCACAAAAATGATTTGCACGCAAGTTGCACGATAGAAGCACTCGCTTACACTAACAATCTTCCACCTTTAGAAATAAATTTTAAATGTATAAAATGCATATTTAAATCTTATAGATACAATTAAATAAATAAAATCGAAAATTTCAACAAAACTCAATAAAATAAAACGGGAATGTGATATTTTAAGGAGAGAAACTAACTATTGTTTCTCTCTACATAAATTTACTAGATTACATAAATTTACTATGATCAATGTATCCCATTTGTCCCCCACTTCTTTTTCCACCACACATTTGTATTTCATTTTTAATTAATTATTTATTTTTAAGTTTTTTTGCGTATTTATGTGGTGTCATTTTGAAATTGGAAGTTCAAACTTGAAAGGGAGAAGTAGTGACTCACGTAAGACGGGCAGGGAGGGAGGGAGGGAGGGAGCCCGTTGTTTCTTTGCATTTAATTATTCTCCGCTTTACAAAAAGAAACATTAACATAAAAAATAAAAAAGAAAGAGAGAGAGAGAGAACGAAACACGGAAACGGAAAGGGAGAGAGAGAGGCACAGAGAGAGCGTCCGAGTTGGACTCATTCTCTTTCCCCCCCATCCACCTCACTTCCACTTCCACCAGGTCCGTACCGTTACTACACGCTCTTCTTCCTCCTCCTCGCTTTTCATGCATTTATTCTTCTTCTTCTTCTTCTTCTTTTTAATTTCCCCCCTTTTTCTTTCTGTTTTTTTTATCTTTCAAATTTATTAATAAAAGCTTTGTCTCAAAATTACCTCTGGAAATCACGTTGTTTTCGCTTACATTTGGTTTTTGGGTCGAGAATTGAGCATTTTAAGTTTTGCTCACAATTTGATCTTTGGATGATGTGTTCATTTCATTAATTAACACGGTTGAGCTCTTGCAGTGATTTTAACTAATTAATTACGGAGTATTTTTTTTTGTTGAAAAAATAGTCCAGTGAATTTCAATTTTTCAGCCTTTTTGTTTTTTTTTTTGCGGTATGAATGCGGGTAGTATTTTTAGCGTGGAATTTGTTCATCCGGGTGTGTTCATTTTTGTTGGTGCTGGAATCAATTTTTAATCTCATTTATATTTGTATATATTTTTTTACTTATAATGGCGAATATTGGGAAACGAAACGATGAATAATGACTGTTCTCTTGTAACTAACTTGATGCTTTCGCAAAAAAAAAAAGAGAAAAGAAAAAAAAAATGAAGCTTACTCGAAACTGTTTGACAAAATTGCATTGGAAATGTAAATATTTGGAGGTTTTTTGGACTGGGCAGAGGTGACCGTTTTTTTAAGAGGGTAGAGGTGACTACAGTCTATATTGTATTAAATTAAAGACGTTCGAATTTACCTACTTCTATTCTACCGTTCGAATCAGTACTGGGGAGACCATAGGGACTCTTTTATTAAAATAACTAAAGATGAATTTTACTGTAAATATTTCCTGATTTTCCCAGCAGAGGGTGGATGGTTCTCACTTCTCACCACCTTATGTGCAATTCTTTTCACAAGAAACATGTAAACAATATGGCAAAACAGAAGTGATGGTCCTATTAAAAGAAATTCTCTATACTGAAAAAAGGAAACATTTTTTTGATTGTTTTTTCTTTTGGTTTTTCCATACACATAGAAAACATGCCTATGAATGTGTGATGTTTTCGCACACTTTTCGCAATTGAGTAAATAATGAGATGTTTAACCCCCACTTTTGTGCATTGACGTGGCTAGATGAGGCATGCGACAAGTGATTTGCTCTTATTCGTGTTCATATTAGTTTGCTCCAACAGATTTCTAATATTCTACATTTGTTTCCTTGCTTGTCTAGGCGTAGCGGTTTGTCCTATTAATAGGAATTGTAACTGGAATGATAAATGCCGAATATTATAACGTAATAAAACATGCGATTCGGGAAGGCCAAGCCTTGATTCTTGTGTTTGACTCTTCTCGATTCTTGTCGTGTTTCCACACATGTTGCTAATGTGGCTGAGCTGGATGCTCTCATGCATATAAATGACACAAGTGATGCTTACTCGCTTCAACAGCGCGTTCCTTATGGAGAACTCCGACACTCTTAACCGAATTAATCCACTTATGCGTGTCAACATGGCTAGATGAGGCGCGTGACTGATTACTATTTCCTATTAGTATCCTAATTAGTTTGTTCCCGTGTTTAGCAAATTTCTATTTTGTTTTAGATTTGAAATTTGTTTCCTTGCTTGTCTAGGAGGCTCTAATTACTGTTTTATATGGTAGTACTTATATGACTTTTGATTGGACTAATAATTATCAAACATCTGAATGTAATAAATCTGTGTTTTGGCAGGGCCAAAACTTGGTGCTTGTGTTTGACTCTTCTCTGCCAAAGGCGAGAAGAGTTTTCTTTTGTTCACCACCATAGCTTCTCATCGTCTTTCCTAACACACCTTGGACATGCTAGTATGAGCATTCTTCTGTTTTCATTTTGAAGAGCAAAAATTGTGGAAATGGAAAAGTTGTATTATTAAACAATTAAGGAGGACTGAAATTTTATTCGTTATTTTGATTTACTCTTTTTACAAAACACCCATTGACCAATCCTTTTCTCCCTCTGCATTTTGGGTTGTTTCACAAAGATCTGATAGTTCCAAATATTTCATTATTGGTATGCATGTTCTTGAGTTTTTTTTGGTAGTACCAGATTTTACTGTATGTATGCGTGTGCATAAAAGGGTCTTTGAAGTTGCCTTAAAAATACTAACATAATAAATCCACAATTTGCCACTCCGGAATGTGACTATATTAGATTATACAAATTAGAGATATCCCAATTCAATGACTTTTGGGAAAAATCCTTAAATCCTTAAATACAATTTAGAAAAATCCCAACTAAACTCACAACTATCTTAAATCCACAATTCATGGATTAATATATTTGAGTATACATATTAGAAAAATCCCACGTGTCAGTCTCCTAGTAATTAGTATGCACTCCAAGTGTGTGAATTCAATACAGAATCTCTTAATTTGGAACTGTGATAGTACTTGCATCTTTCATTTATGAATTACTGAAGACAATCTCTCCCCCTTAATGACTTTTTCCAATATTTTAATGTGGGCCTTTTATCTTATTCGTCTCTACGTGCTTTCCAGATACTCATAAATTAACTTCTTTCCCGGGCTCTTCGTTCATTCAATTTCTCTTCATTTGACAATGCCTCTCATATTCCGAGGGTAATAGTGTTTTCAAGGGTCCTAATTTCCTTTATTTGTTAGATTCTGCCAGTCAATGTTCCCCTTTTACCAAGTTGTGTGGTTAAGTATCTTTCTTTACTAATTACCAACTAACTTATAACCCACCATCGTAAATGCATTTCCATTGATGGCGGTGTCAATAGACAATTATTCTAATTGTTGTGAACTTTTATCATTCTTCCAACCTTAGATCTCTGTCCTTGTATACATTAGAAAACATGGAGACTTCTTTTTTATTACTCTGTATTACTTATTCTTTTGGAGCACAAAAAATGGAAAGGTATTGAGACATCAGTGTTTCAGTTTCATACAAAACAATTGGCTTCTACAGTTTTTACCATGCCTAGTTAATCTGGTGTTTAATTCTGAAGGAAAGAGCTTCATTTGGACAATCACAATAAAGGCATCAATTCTCTGATGCTAATGGAGTCAGGGGAAGATAGAGAAACAGCAACACATACAGAAGCTCAGGTGCTTTTGCATTTTGTTTGTACTCCCTGCGCCCAAAACAATCTGTCCCTAAAGTGTCCTATTTTATAAAATGAAGCTATTTTTTCATGTAAGTTGTGGGTAAATGTTAAAGTTAAACATGACAATTGTTGTAAACCGAAATGTGAACTTTACAAATATTAGTAGCACCCATTGTGTTCCCATTGCTAAAAGAGTCATTGTTTACAATTCTTTAGCTTGAGGTTGATAATGAACTAAATCAATATTGCACATTAGACTTTTCTTGCTTCTTACTTTTTTGTATGATGTTTTGGGGTAGTGCGTGCATCAAGGGTCTAATGGAAATAACCTCTTTGTTTTCGATAGGATTAAGGTTGCATACATCTTTACCCCCAAACCCTGATGTAGATGAGATGGCATTGGGTTTGTTGTCATTGTAGTAGGATGGAATGACTTTTAGGAGTTGTACGTTTGCCAAACTTTAAAACTTGTACTTTAGCACAACCTTGTTTTGGGACAAAGGGAGTATATGTTTTCATTTTGTACTTCTTGTTTCATATGATTACCAGCTTTCTGCATTTCCTTCAATTCTCAGGAGGCGCCAGTTGCATCTTTATATCCTGATTGGACAAGTTCTCTTCCGGTTTGGCAATGAGTCTTCTTGATGTTAAGCCAAGTAGATGCATTTAACTTTATTAAATTCTCTCCTCTTTTGTGGGTTTAGGCTTATTATAGTGCTGCTGCTACACCTCCCTTCTTTCCATCAACTGTTGCTTCGCATACTCCCCGTACCTATATGTGGGGAGGCCAGGTGATTTATGCCTTTTCAAATCATTAATTAATGTTATACATAAAGTTTCACACATCTTAAATGGTTTAACATGGAGGTAACACTTAATCTGTTTGTGTTGTGTTACTACTTTAGCCTCTAATGTCGCCTTATGGGACTCCGGTTTCATATCCTGCTATGTATACTCCTGGTGCAGTCTATGCTCATCCCAATATCGCAATGGTAATAAAAATTCTCTATTACTAACTTGAGCTTTTGATTTGTACTTTTTATTCTTTTAGGCCTTAAGGGTGTATTTTGGGATATCCGAATATGCTATGGGAAGGGTAAAATGCTTAGTTATTTTCTTATGCTTGGCTTTATCATATAAAATACAAAAAAAAAAAAATTAATAGAATGTTAAATATATTTAAATTTTTAAGTTTTTACTTAGTATATAATTAAAGTAATAATAAGTTTGAACAACTATAAAAAAAAACTTCTAAGTACCCCAAGACCCCACTCATGGGATTTTTCTCGGTATGTTGTGGTGCAAATATGAAAAAACAAAATTGAGTTCGTCCATTGCCAATTGAGCTCAAAGAGTTATGATTGACATTATTTTAGTTTCGGGCACATGATGGACTAAACCAAAATGGTACATTAGATTTCTCCTACTTACTTTCTTTAAAGCTTTGGTAGTAAATGCAGCAATGCATCTAGGGTCTAATGGAAATAGCTTATTTGTCCTTACAGAGGTAAGATCGCATACATCCCCCCCATACCTCAATAAAGTTGGGATTATATTGGGTTGTCGTTGTCGTTGTCCTATTTTTTATTTCTCTCCCAAATTACCTTTCCACTTTCCATTGTATTCCAAACTGGCTCTTAAACTTCTAGAGCTGGCTTAATATGTTTCAAAAAGGAAATATTGATGTCTTGAGCTTGGCATGCTGTTCATGTGTTCCATCTTTTTGATAGTTTTCTTTCTTTCTTTCTTCCATCTGGTTGGTAGGCTCCAAGTCAAATGCAGGCAAATGAAGACTCAGATGCAAAGGCATCTGAAGGGAAGATAAAGTCTTCTGGGAAGAAACCAATGAAAATTTCTGGTGACAAGGTGGGAGATAGAACTAGAGAAGCTTCTGGATCGGGGCATTATGGTACCACCCAAAGGTGCTTTGGAGTAGATTGGCTTCAGCTTTTCTTTACATTAGTTTTTCCTTCTTCTTTTGCCCCCTGTAGGGTCTCTTTCGAAATCCGAAAATACTGATAAAAGAAAATAGGAAGGAAAATGAGGTGGAAAATGGGAATGAAAGAAAATATGTGGGGAAATAAACGAGAGGCATAGGTTCAATTATTTTATGTGAGATATGTGTTTAAAATCATTTTCTTTTTTAAAATTTATATATTTTTGAACCAAAATCAAAGATATATTTCATCTTCAATCAATGAGAGTACAATCACATCACACATATGGTATTTGATCCACTGCATTGCCTCTTCCACTGAAATCTTTCTATTATTATGCACCAGTTGGTTCATAGCTTTCCAAACACAGTTACAAATTATTATACCATTAAATCTGTAGCCCACCCAATGATATACCTTCTCATAGATATGATTTTATATACAACAAATTTTTTTTAGATACATTACTCATGCCTGTTTCTTTTGTACAGAGTATTTTCTAAGGTAAAAGCGAATATAAGAAGGAAAAAAACTTTCCTTTTCAGTTTTTTCCTTTCACTATCATTTTCTGGGATTTATACATACCTTTAGCTGATAAAAGTTTTGTACATTCTTATACACAATTTTTCTCATTCACAGTGCTGAAAGTGGAAGCGATGGCTCTTCTAATGATGAGAGCGATGAGAACAGTAACAATGTATGTTTCTGGAATTACATACTGCAGTATAAGTGCTAAAAACACACGAAGCTGCACGCTAAAAATCTTTTTTTTTGGTGATGCGATTCTTTAGGAGTTATCTGCTTCGAAGAAGGGAAGCTTTGATCAAATGCTAGCTGATGGTAATTTCTTTTACCTGTCATGATTGTTTTGTTGCTTTTTTTTTGAATTTTCAGCAGACAAGTGATTGCTGAACTGACCCATATCCTATCAGGTGCTGCCCATGCTCAGAGCAGTCCTGTTCTTAATGTGCCTGCAACAAATTTGAACATAGGAATGAATTTGTGGAGTTCTTCAGTGGGCCCTGGACCCAACACAATGCTGCCAAATGCTTCTGGAGTTTCACAAGGTGTGGTCTTTACTCCTGTGATGGGGCGTGAAGGAATGATGCCAGAGCAGTGGATTCCAGTGAGTCTAATTTTATACTCCCTCCATCCCCAAAAGAACTTAACAATTTCCATTTTGGGCACACTTTAACTTCTTAGTTACATATCCAATTTGTTTGTGCACTTCAACACAAACACTTCTTTTTGCTCATTCTTACATTGTGATGACCATTGAACTCACAGGATGAACGTGAACTGAAAAGACAAAAGAGGAAACAGTCTAACCGGGAGTCGGCTAGAAGATCAAGAATGCGCAAACAGGTCGTATCCCCCTTCTTCGAATGCTTTGCATGACTTAAATCTTTATATCTTGATCAATATCATGCTACATTGGTCCTAACCAGGCGGAATGTGAGGAGCTACAAAATACGGTGGCCACACTGAGCAAAGAGAACCTGTCACTTAAGGAGGAGGTGCAAAGGTTTTCTAAGGAATGTGCGAGGCTTGCTCTTGAGAATAACTCCTTAAAGGTTGCAAATTAGTTTCATTTTAAAAGTTTTTAGGTTCGTGTATGTCTTGACCCCAAACCCGAACAGAGTTGAGATTATACCGAGTTTTGTTGCTTTTTGTATTTTGATTAACCAATCCCGGCCCTTGAATCCGTCACTATTGCGATACAGGAAGAACTAATGAAGACTACGCACGGTGTTCCATAAGTTGTGCCTAAGGTTGGGGTCATTGGAAGCACGGCGGCGGATGTGCAGACTAACAACAGCCCCAAATAACAGAAAATCATATACTCCAGTCCATATATAAACAACAGTCAAAGTAAGGTAATGTTGTTTACAATTGGTGGGAGAAACTTGTGGATTATATTATAGGAACAAATAGATTTGCTGAGGTTTGTTTGTTGTATGTGTGAATTATTATTATTATTATTATTATTATTATTATTATTATTATTATTATTATTATTATTATTATTATTATTATTCCCCGTGCCATAACTGTGCCATCCCCGTGCCACAACTGTGCCATCCTCGTGCTAAACCCGTGCCATAACCGTGCCAAGACCGCGTCCAAAAAATATTTTCGATTTTCTACTTCGTTTTGAAGTGAAAATATACTATTGATACTAGTATTGTCTTTAATGTATGGGGAATTACTTTACCACAATTCTTACATTAGTCCAATTTAATTGAACAAATGATTTACTCATTACATTTTCTGAAGATTATGCAACTTGAATAAATTGAATTAAATTAAAAAAGAATGTCACATTTCTTTTTTTAACAATTACGAGAACTTTTGTTTATTAATAAATTTTCATTGATTATTTAATAAAATAAAATATTATTGACACTTCTTATTTTGAAATTTTTTTATATATTTTTAAATATGTGAATTTCATTTTTTATTTTTATAACAATATTTAAATAAAATGACAAGAAAAAACTTGATATTTACTTTGTTTTCAATGTAGTATCATATGTTTGTATTTCATAATATAGTACCATTGTTCAATGTCTACTGGACATTGTTCAAGTAAATATCCACCATCATCGAACATTATTCAAAGTAAATGTCCACTGTCACTGGACATTATTCTCGCGATTAGGAATTATTTAATACGAGTACTATTTAAGGAATTAAAAGTTATGAGTACTACATTGGGAAAAGACATATTTTAGTACTATTTAATATAAATTTCACATAATTAAAATATTGAATCACAAAGATAACAATACAAAGAATTTTCTTAACTAATACCTTGAATAACAACTTAACTACTTACTGACTTTTCAAACAACACATATATTAATAAGATAAAAAAACATGCACGTTAATTAAGAGTTTCACCCAATCCAGTGGCACCACCTAATTAGTAACTGCCTTAAACATATCAAAATATTTATTTCTTGTAAAAATTGTTGATTAATTAAGTAATCTTTCTAGTAGTAGTAAAATCTTAAAATCAACTCAAATAACATTGCGCGCGATGCTATACTATTATCCTTCTTCATTTTCGATCAAGAGAGTGGTGTAGGGGGGATCGAGGGCCGACGGTGTTTAGCCCAGGCCTAGTTCTCCGATTCAAGGGCGGTGTTCTAGCGAGAATAATAGGTGATGGATCAAATAAAGAACGATGACTTCCTGTGCCGATTGAACAAAAATCTCTGCACCAAATCTAACAAAGTCAAATGTCCAAGACTTATTGGTCGGTATAAACTTCAAATCCCAGTTGTTCTTCAATTTCTTCATAGTTTATGTCTGATTTTATGTCTATCGTTTATTTTTGCCTGTTGTGTCTAATAAAATTGCTTTAATTTTCTTTTTATCCAAACCATAAAAATAGCTTTAATTTTCTTCTTTTTGAAACCATAAAAAATTGAGTGAAACACTTTTTTTAAAAAAATAATAGAAAATTTGCACTAAATAACACTAAAACTTAAGTCATTTCCCTAAATAGCACTTAAACTGTTTTATTTTTTAAATAATACTTAATAATATTCATAATGTCCAGTGAGACGAACATTTACTTGAATAATGATTAATGGATAATGACTAAAAGTGTTACATCGAGAAAATAAATGTGATACTATTTAGGGAAAATCATTATGTTTTAGTGATATTTAAGTAAATTTTCTAAAATAATAACATACGCACTAAAACATATTGACACCAATGAACAAGCAAAATGAAGAAAAACACATTAACACCAACTTTAGCAACAATTAGGTAGAGAGATATGACGACCATTAGTGATTGTTAATTACAATCATGTCCGACAGAGCCCCTAATTAACCATGGTTGGCTTAGCAGCTATCTATGTGGTTCAATTTGTGTACATGCAAAGATGGATCGGGGATGGAATTAATCACGTTCACTTCCAAGCTGACGTGGAGACGAGGGCCCTGTCCTGCCAGCACAGCAGCATCTCCTCATGTCTCTTTGCCACGTGGAAACCTCCGATCTGCATCCTCCCCACCAGGCAGTTGGCCTGCAAGTCAGCAAATTGACTCAAACCCACCTGCCGGAACCCCGCCGCCGCAAAAGCCTCTTTCCACGCCGTCCCACCGCTTTCGGCCGCCCCAACCATCTCCTCTATCTTCGGGACCACCACGAAATTCTCAACCCTCTCCATCCAGTCTCCGCCCCAGCCGGCGCTCGCCGCCTCGAGAGACTCCAGCAGAGTGGAGTAAAACATCAGCCCGTCGATCACCTTCTGCCGCACGGACGACGGCCCGCACCCGACAATCCCGTCGCAGTCCACGCTCACCACCATCTCCGGCGAAATCCGGCGGAGATCGGCGGCAAAATAGCTGGCCTCGACCACCCGGAATATCGCCGGAGACAAAAGGACGAGCACTCTCTCTCCGTCTAAGAACTTGACGGCTTCGAAGGAGAGAAGTCGGAACGTACTCAGGAGCACGAAATCAACGTGGAAGTCGATGCTCAGCTCGGTCGCGAGCTGAGCCAAGTTATCCTTGATCAGCTTCGACTCAACGCCGAAGCCGTCAGGAACCACAGCCGTTATCCGAAGCACAGGACACTCGGACCCTCTATCGGCTACTAGCTCTTTCATGAACGAAGCCCAGTGGGAGCCGAAGCCGATGTCGAAGTCAATGGCGTGTAGGAACACCGCGGAGCCCTCGTCGTCGTCGTGCATGACGACGGCCTCGAGCATGGCTTGGTTAGCGGTGAAGCCGGAGAACATGGGGACGGGGGAAATGCTGGAGAAGATTTGATAAGCTTCGATGGATTTAATAACGTCGTCGGAGGGGGTTGTGGAGGCACGGCAGCCGCCTGATTGAAGGGCTTCCTTGAAGTAGAAGGCGGCTCTCCGGAGCGGCTTCCCGGCTGGGGAGGGGAGCTTGTGATGGAGCTGCGCCAGCAGGAGCTGATGAGGCGGCTGGAAACTGTCGAAGCAGTCGGCCAACTGGATCAGCTCGTCCACGTAATCATACTCGTAACGCCAGCTGCTGCAGCACTTCTTATTATCATTATCACCGTCTTCATCCAACAAATTACTGCCGATAATAGAGGTATCATAATAACCGGCGGCGGCGAAGAAGTAATCGGTCGCATTCTCCGGCGGCGGCGGGGTGAAAAGAAGAGGATCGGTAGAATTACCGGCGGCGAGGGGAGGTTTGGTCATCATCATGAGAGAGTCCCAATCGTGGAAGTTGGCGGGGAGGAAGTGATGATCGTCGTCGAGATGGTCATCGGCGCTCGGGAGGAGCTCGAGGACCGACTTGGGCTCGTACTGCAAGTTATTGATGAAACCGTCCAGAGCGGCGGCGGCCGGAATACTTGGCAGTTTCATTTCTCTTCGGCAGGCAATTCAGATGAGGAGGGAGGGAGGGGTACTTAGCTAGGACCGAGAATAGAGAGGAATTGATGAAAGAAAAGTTTGAAAAGGAAGGGGAAAAGTGGAGCTCTGGGAGATCGAAGTGTTTAAAATTTAAATAGAGTGGAGAGTATATATGTAGTGTAGTGTGTAGCAATTCTATCTTTGCGTGTCTGTTGCAATATTTGAGTAAAGTCTAGCATTTGCATAAAGTCCACCGCTACCTCCATTCTTCTCATCACTTTTGGCATTTTTAAATGGACCATGCTACACTTATACCAAAAAATATACCCCATTTGTACATCATAGGTTTGCTCAAATATTTCGATGGTTTACACCGACACAAGTGTTGGTGCGTTAATAAAAATTCACACGGACACAAATGTTGGTGCATTTAACAAAAATTAGTTTTACACCAACACAAAGTGTTGGTGCAAAACTACGGGGTACAAATTGGGGTACAAACCTTGGGGTACACATAGCATAATCCTTTTTAAATTGAAATATTTGTACTAAATATCACCAAAATTTAAGTCATTTTTCAAAATAATACTTAAACTATTTTATTTCCTAAATAATACTTAATAATGTCCAATAATGACAAATATGTATTTGAATAATGACTAATGCATAATGACTATGATGTTCTGTTTGTAAACCCTGCCTCCACATATATAGTCCCGACCCCAACTTACCCTTTCGATTACACCACCCCCTCTAAATTTATTTGACTTTGGTTCACGAAGAGGCGGGACAGGAAGTTTGCCGGAGATTAGGAGGTACGAATCGTCTATTTTGCAAACGGGACTCAATTGTTGCAATTTCTAAACTAATCAAATGCTATTCAATTGATATCATAATTTAATGTATCTTTACCGCATATATATTATGAGTAAAATTCCTAAACTTTGATCTAGTAATTTTTTAATACTTTTTGAACTTTTTAACTAGACCTGGCAAAACAGACTCGAACTGGATAATCCAAACTGAATAATCCAGAATCGAACCCGAAAACTGAAAAACCGAATTAAACCCAAACACCCAAAATGATCTGAACCGAATCAAAACTGAACTGAATGTTTTCAAACCCAATTTAGATCCAAATCCAATCAAACTCGAACCGATTAAACTTAGAAACGATCAGACTCAAAACCGATTAGACCCGAAATCAATTAGACTTAATATTGATCAAATTCAAAATAAATTAAATGCAAATCTAGTCAAACCTAATAACTCATTGGTTGATGTCTTTTTTTCAAAAAAGCATAGTTAAATAATAGGTACAACTAATTTCATGTACAAATCTTTTATTCCGTATTTTATCACTTAAACAATGTTTGTTTATTTTTATATAAAGTACATATGATTTGTTGTGACACTGTAACACATATTGATAGATATACCGAATCATCATTTCTGACACGTGTATATATATACTCTCCTATCCTCTTATACACACATGGATGGGAGGCTACAACAAGGCTAACATCAGAAATTCTTATATTTCTTCTATCACTTAAACTCTTTCTTCTTTCTTTTTTTCTTGTCCCA